CGGGCCTCCCATAGCTGCTGCCAGGCCCCTAATCTGCCATGGGCCCCTATATACCGCCTCCTCATGCTGCTGCCAGGTTCAGAGTCCCTCATATGGTCCCTGTACGAACGGCCTCCCATTGCTGCTGTCTCCATCGCCACACTCTGCCATGTGCCACTTTCAGGTCTCCTCACACACTGCTGGTGTGTAGAAATTTTTTGACATAGGGTGCTGGCAGATTACGGGCCTCCCATAGCTGCTGCCAGGCCCCTAATCTGCCATAGGCCCCTATATACCGCCTCCTCCTCATGCTGCTGCCTGCCAGGTCCAGAGTCCTCTCATGGGTCCCTGTACGGCCTCAGGGTGCATTGCTGCTGTCTCCATCGCGCCACACTCTGCCATGTGCCACTTTCAGGTCTCCTCACACACACTGTGGTGTGGAATTTTTGACATAGGGTGCTGGCAGATAGGGCCTCCCATAGCTGCTGCCAGGCCCCTAATCTGCCATAGGCCCCTATATAGCCTCCTCATGCTGCTGCCAGGTCCAGAAGTCTCTCTTCATAGGCTGCTGGCAGATTACGGGCCTCCCATTGGTGCCATGGGCCCCAGTACCGCCTCAGGACATGCTGCTGCTGAAAGGTCCAGAGTCCACTCAGCGGGCCCCTGTAGTGCTGGAGGGCCCCCATCTGCTGCTGTCTCCATCGCCTCCTCACTGCTGCCATGTGTCATGGTCCCAGGTCTCCTCTCACACTGCTGGTGTGTAGAATTTTTTGACATAGGGTGCTGGCAGATTACGGGCCTCCCATAGCTGCTGCCAGGCCCCTAATCTGCCATGGGCCCCTATATACCGCCTCCTCATGCTGCTGCCAGGTCCAGAGTCTCTCATGGGGTCCCTGTACGGCCTCCCATTGCTGCTGTCTCCATCGCCACACTCTGCCATGTGCCACTTTCAGGTCTCCTCACACACTGCTGGTGTGTTAGAATTTTTTTGACATAGGGTGCTGGCAGATTACGGGCCTCCCATAGCTGCTGCCAGGCCCCTAATCTGCCATGGGCCCCTATATACCGCCTCCTCATGCTGCTGCCCAGGTCCATCATGGGCCCCCTGCTCGGTCTCCTCCACATTGCTGGTGTGTGCCATCCATCGCCTGCTACTCCTCTGACAGAGGTGCCACTTTCAGTCTCCTCACACACTGCTGTGTTAGAATTTTTTGACATAGGGTGCTGGCAGATTACGGGCCTCCCATAGCTGCTGCCAGGCCCCTAATCTGCCATGGGCCCCTATATACCGCTGCCCTCATGCTGTGCCAGGTCCCTGTCTCCTGTCATGGGCCCCTGTCCACGGCCTCCAGACACTGCTGGGCCCTGTGTCTCCATTTTCGCCACACTCTGGCATGTGCCAGGGTGGGGTCTCCTCACACTGCTGCAGTGCCCCTAATTTTTTGACATAGGGTGCTGGCAGATTAGCCTCCTCCTGCAGCTGCTGCCAGTCTAATCTGCCATGGGCCCCTATACGGCCTCACCTGCTGCAGTGAGTCCTACCATCGCCACACTCTGCCATGGGTGCCACTTTCAGGCAGCAGCAGCTGCTGGTGGTAGACCTTGACAGGACCTGGCAGATTCGGCCTCCCACACAGCTGCTGCCAGGCCCCTAATTTTTGACATAGGGGCCCCATATACCGCCTCCTCATCATGCTGACAATCCCCCATGGGTCCCTGACTCCTCACTGGGCAACGAAACTTGACCTTTGGCCCCCAACTAGCTGAATTTGCCCTTGAAAGGTCTGTCATGCCCCCAGTACGTGGCCTCCCAGCGCTGCTGTGCCAGGAGGTCGCCACAACTGCCATGTGCCACTTTCAGTCTCCCCACACTGCTGTGTGTAGAATTTTTTGACATAGGGTGCTGGCAGATTACACGGGCCTCCCATAGCTGCTGCCAGGCCCCTAATCTCCATGGGCCCCTATATACCGCCTCCATCATGCTGCTGCAAGTCCAGAGTCTCCATGGGTCCCTGTACGGCCTCCCATTGCTGCTGTCTCCATGCCCACACTCTGCCATGTGCCACTTTCAGGTCTCCTCACACTGCTGGTGTGTAGAATTTTTTGACATAGGGTGCTGGCAGATTACGGGCCTCCCATAGCTGCTGCCAGGCCCCTAATCTGCCATGGGCCCCTATATACCGCCTCCTCATGCATGCTGCTGCCAAGTCCAGAGTCTCTCATGGGTCCCTGTACGGCCTCCCATTGCTGCTGTCTCCATCGCCACACTCTGCCATGTGCCACACTTTCAGGTCTCCTCACACACTGCTGGTGTGTAGAATTTTTTGACATAGGGTGCTGGCAGATTACGGGCCTCCATAGCTGCTGCCAGGCCCCTAATCTGCCATGGGCCCCTATATACCGCCTCCTCATGCTGCTGCCAGGTCCAGAGTCTCTCATGGGTCCCTGTACGGCCTCCCATTGCTGCTGTCTCCATCGCCACACACTCTGCCATGTGCCACTTTCAGGTCTCCTCACACTGCTGGTGTGTTAGAATTTTTTGACATAGGGTGCTGGCAGATTACGGGCCTCCCATAGCTGCTGCCAGGCCCCTAATCTGCCATGGGCCCCTATATACCGCCTCCTCATGCTGCTGCCAGGTCCAGAGTCTCTCATGGGTCCCCTGTACGGCCTCCCATTGCTGCTGTCTCCATCGCCACACCCACACTCTGCCATGTGCCACTTTCAGGTCTCCTCACACACTGCTGGTGTGTTGTAGAATTTTTTGCTGAGACATAGGGTGCTGGCAGATTACGGGCCTCCCCATAGCTGCTGCCAGGCCCCTAATCTGCCATAGGCCCCTATATACCGCCTCCTCATGCTGCTGCCAGGTCCAGAGTCTCTCATGGGTCCCTGTACGGCCTCCCATTGCTGCTGTCTCCATCGCCACACTCTGCCATGTGCCACTTTCAGGTCTCCTCACACTGCTGTGTGTGTTGAATTTTTTGACATAGGGTGCTGGCAGATTACGGGCCTCCCATAGCTGCTGCCAGGCCCCTAATCTGCCATAGGCCCCTATATATACCGCCTCCTCATGCTGCTGCCAGGTCCAGAGTCTCTCATGGGTCCCTGTACGGCCTCCCATTGCTGCTGTCTCCATCGCCACACTCTGCCATGTGCCACTTTCAGGTCTCCTCCTCACACTGCTGTGTGTGTTGAATTTTTTGACATAGGGTGCTGGCAGATTACGGGCCTCCCATTGCTGCTGCCAGCCCGTAATCTGCCATGGGCCCCCGTACCGACTCCTCATGCTGTGACGTTGCAACAAGGTGGAATTCAACCCTACATATGTTAGACCGCCTTTACGAACAGCGAAAGGCCATCACAGATTTCCTGATGTTAAAAGCGGATAAAGGTACTCCCTGTGTAACTTAGATGTCAGCCATTGGCAGCTCATGCGTGACACCTGCGCTTGCTCAGGCCCTTTGAGGAGGCCACGCTATTCGTGAGTCGGCAGGACTATGGGATGAACGACGTCATTCCTCTGTTGCACGTCCTGGAACAAATGCTGTTAACAATGGCTGGTCAGGGTGCGGTAGACGTGGCGCACAGATCTCAACGCCACATGACCCCTGTGGGGGCAGGACAGGAAGAAGAGGAGGAGGTAGAGGAGGACATTGGTGCTCAGGAATTATTGAGTGAAATGGGTGGTTTTTTCCACTCAGCGGACAGGAGTGGAGGAGCAGGAGCATCTGGTAGAGGAGGAGGAGGAGAGGAGACAGAGGACCCAGACGCACCGTGGCAGTATGCTGTGGAGATGGAGGCAGGGAGTCCCTCGCATTCCTTGGCACAAATGGCCCATAGCATGCTCGCTTGCTTGCGTAGCGACAGCCGAATAATAACCATCAGACAGAGGGATGACTTTTGGCTGTCCACCTTGTTGGACCCTCGCTACCGTTCAAAAATGGTGGCCTTTTTCACACCTGCTGAGAGGGAGGCCAAAATAACGTACTATAAAAACCACCTATGTAGTCAGCTGGTCTCTGCCTGTCTGCGCCAACGTCCATCCTCAGACACTGTGGGCCCTGTGCGCTCGCGTTCCGCTGCCATGGCAGCAGGGGAGGGGTGGGGGGTGGTAGGAGCAGTGGCAGCTCCACCAGCAGCGGCTGCCTCAGTCTGCAGTCGATGATGAGTAGCTTTCTTCACCAGCGCAGTGAGGAAACTACTAACCAGCAGCAGCAGCAGCAGCAGCAGCAGCATGGTGGACCTGGAGCAGGACCTCAAACAACAGGCTTAGGCCTACTTGGACAGCACCCTGCCAACCGAGGTAGACAATCCCCTTGACTACTGGGCAACGAAACTTGACCTTTGGCCCCAACTAGCTGAATTTGCCCTTGAAAGGCTGTCATGCCCGGCCAGTAGCGTGGCATCGGAGCGCGTGTTTAGTGCGGCAGGAGGTATTGCAACTCCGCTGCCAAGTCCAGAGTCTCTCATGGGTCCCTGTACGGCCTCCCAATTGCTGTCTCCATCGCCACACTCTGCCATGTGCCACTTTCAGGTCTCCTCACACTGCTGGTGGTGTGTTCCATTTTTTGTCATAGGGTGCTGGCAGATTTAGCTGCTGCCAGGGCCTGGCCCCATAGCTGCTATCAGGCTGCCCTAGGTGTGTCATGGGCCATGGGCCCCTATACCCCATTGCCTCAGGCCTCCATCGCTGCTGCCATGTGCCACCAGAGTCTCCTCACATGGTGGGGTCCCTGTACGGCCTCCCATAGCTGCTGCCAGGCCCCTAATCTGCCATGGGCCCCGTACCGACTCCTCATTGCTGCTGCCAGGCCCGTAATCTGTCATGGGCCCCCTGTTGTCGCTTGTTGGCATATTCCGCTCGTTCAGATGCTCCTTCTCCTGCTACTCCTCTTCACGGATTCCGTCAGCAGTCTTTCTTGGAATCCGTTTCCAAGAGACAACAGTTTGCGAGCACGCACCCTGACGGTGCAGAAGCTGAACGTCCTCCTGTCCAAGTTGCTGCTCGTTAATCTGTCATGCGCCCCTGTACCGCCTCCTCATGCTGCTGCCAGGTCCAGAGTGTGTCATGGGGCCCTGTACGACTCCTCATTGCTGCTGCCAGGCCCGTAATCTGTCATGGGCCCCTGTCAGGTCTGCCTCCCCATGCTGCTGCCAGGTCCAGGATTGTGTCATGGGTCCCTGTACGGCCTCCCATTGCTGCTGCCAGGCCCGTAATCTGCCATGGGCCCCCGTACCGACTCCTCATGCTGCTGCCAGGCCCGTAATCTGTCATGGGCCCCTGTACGGCCCCACGCCTCCTCATGCTGCTGCCAGGTCCAGAGGGTGTCATGGGTCCCTGTACGGCCTCCCATTGCTGCTGTCTCCATCGCCACACTCTGCCATGTGCCACTTTCAGGTCTCCTCACACTGCTGGTGGTTTCCATTTTTGTCATAGGGTGCTGTATGGCCTCCCATTGCTGCTGCCTCCACCGCCACACTGTGGCTCCACACTCTGGTTTTGGCCCCGTGACTGCCAAATGAGTGAAGTGTGCGGTGATTCTAAGATCGACGGCACTCATCTGCATGTCATACTGACTGTCAGTATTATTTTCTCTTCCCCAGCAGACTCCAAGGGCATTTAAATTAAAGGTACAGTGTTCTGCACTAATATAAAGTCTCTCTGAAGCCTAGAAACACCCTTTTATAAGTTAAATTCGCAGCGAATATATTCGACTCGAATCAAAATTTTTCCACGAATTCGCCGAATCAGTCGAATCGAATTTTTGAATACTTCGCTCATCTCTAGTAGTGACCTCGAAGAAGATCCATCATTGCAAATTATTTTACACTGTTCTGCCTCCATGAGACAGACAAAGTATGTAGCACTTTGCCCCACTAATCTTCCTAAGTGTAGGAAGTTATGACCTCAACTCCCCCCATCTCCCTGTGCGGGAAATATGAAAACCGCTAGAAAGGGGACAAATCAATCCTAACTGCAGTTTATCTCAGCTGTAACATCTTCCCGAGACAAGAGGAATGCAGAGGGATAGGCAGGTGTTAGCCGCCAAGCTACAGTTTGGATCAGTGTCTATAGGTGGGCAATGGAGGTGAGGCAGGTCGGACGTCATAACTACGCTTACTACATGTACTTTGTCTCATGGGGGGGCAGAAAAGTGATGATAGATCTTTAATGTGTCAGATTGGATTAGTTCCCTCCAAAAATATCTCCTGCACTATGGTAGACCCCCTATTTCAGGGAGCACATGAAGCAGATGGCTGGAGCCTTATGCTTCAGTTGTGATGGCTTGTTACAAGCGCCTAAGTTGAAGTCATGCATGAGTCTGATGTTCATACAGATGCACAGAGCACTAGGACTGGGCTGCTGGGACACTGCTTGCATTGCATTGGAGGGACATCATTTATTGGGCCCTGTACTTGACAATATGATTAGTAATGATGCAGGAGGCCACACAGGACCCCTTCACATGCTCCAAAAGGTTGCACCTTTCTTTTTGTGATGTGATCATTCTTCAATAAAAAGCCTTTTGGACGACATTGGTGATTCATGGTGTGCTGGTAAAGATGAACATTGATTGTGCATCCTTGCAGGTCCTTGAGTAATGTGCTTCTCTGGCTTTTACGGACAGAAAAATTCCTGCAAGACCATAGGCTAATGCCTCTGTTTCACCCTTTCACTGCTCTGTATGATCTCCCTGATGCTACTGAACAGGACATTGCACTTTCCCCAGTCTCCCTGGGGTTCTTTCAACTCTGGACTTCTTGCACACTATATGTTAACTCTGGTTCTGAAGCTGTCACTCAGCCAGGCCTTCACTTCCTACCTAAAGATGATCCCTTACCCTCACGTCATTAGAAGCCACTCGTAGTTCATCCTACCTCTCTGTGTTCCTCCACTCTAGAGGGACTACCTGGCCTACAAGATCAACTCTGACCAGCTCTAGCTGTCCCCTACTTGAGTAAGGACGTACACCCTCAGTGTAACCCAGGCACACTTACCACTTCTTGGGACGATGGCACTGTTGTTCAGATGTATGGATCCTTATAGTCAGCGGCTTCCCCCAGGCCTTAACTCCTTCAAGATCTGGCTGGAGCAGGTTTTGAAGGGTTCTAGAATTTGCAGCAATCTGCCCCCAGTGGTCGAGCAGGTCCAGCTTAAGCCCTGCCTAAAAACAAAAAAAATTAAAAAATGTGATACTCAGGGGGTGCCTGACTTTCAGCCCCTTTCCCCTTTCCTATTATTTTATTTTTTTCCTGGCTTGACCAAGTTTCTGGACACCATCTAGGTGTTGCAATTCCCTTACCTCTGGGAAGCAGTGGGAGTTCTCCCTACAGCAGGGGGCTTTGGCTGGTCCCTTTGCTGGATGAGGGAAGATTGGACAGCACTCACACTACTCTTCCTAAGGCCTTGGAAACGGGCTTTTCTTAACTTGTATCATCAAAATGAGGTTTGTGCATCTCCTCTTACACCATGGGTAGAGATCACCACTGGAAGGCCTTGTGCCTCCCTTTGTTGTCAGCAGGTGGAACAATCTAGCTTACCGCTGCAGGAACAACTAATGATAGCATATGTCTGGAAGACCTGTTCACTTGCAAATTGGTCCTTCTCCTTTGGATGACTTGCAGCCTTTTTGGGAAGGTGCTCCAGATACCTTCACTTGCCCTGTCTTTAATCAGGTGAATGATTTTCTGATCTCATCAGTTTAGGACAAATATCTAACTTCCATTCTTACCTACCTTTGTGGGAGGGTTTTCTGTGTACTCTACTCCTATAATGTTGAGTTTATCAAACCCTTCATTTCAGGTTGCACCAATACTGTATATTCTCTCATGTGCCTCAGTTAGTGAGCTTGGTTGCCTGGATAGGCAACCCCCTGTGGTCAGAGACATTCGCTTGCCTTGATCCTAAGGGCTAGGGATGGAAGGCCTGGGACTATCCCATGTAGACTCTCTGGTGTTTCTTGTTTGCACCTGTTTTTTTTTTTTTTTGTTTTGTTTTTTTCAGTCTTGTCACCTGTTTCTTCTAGCTGTTATCCTTAGTGTTTTTCTGTTGAGCACTAGAATTTGTTCCACCTGTTTTTGGTAGGTCCTAGTTTGTCAGCTTCATTTCCCTACTCCAGCCTTGTCTGGAGATTAGGTTGATTCTCTGTGCTCTTCCTTGGTCATTTTGGCAGGTTCTGTTATCTGATAGGGGGTTTCCCCTCATCCATTCAGACTCAGGTGTTGGTCCTTCAGGTGCTTCCTGGGCTGCAGGTGGTCTCCAGTCCATTTAGTGGGGCCTGTAGTGGTTTTTGCTGTTTCGCTGAACTTCAGTTGGACTTCTTTGGATGTCCAATAAGTATCTTAATTCCTGTTTCAATGTACAAGAAAGTACTTGCCACCAAATCAATATCTTTGAGCCAATTGAGGGACACAGGTTCTGCTCCTCTCTGTTTTTGTTCATGCCCCCAGTACAGTTTTGGCACAAAACAGAGGCATACTGGGTAGAGGAGGGGTTATACTGTGGTCTGGCTTACAATTTTGTTTTTGTTTGTCAGTCTACTGTAGGCAACAGTATAACCTGACTGTATTAGAATTACAGTGTCCCTTGATGAACTCTTAAAGTGGAACCTTAGTCAGAAAAATTAAGTTCTGCTTGATCACTTTAGGTAGTTTCCTTTTTCAGGTTTAGCTTTGTAAAATAATATAAAATAAGTGCTCATACTGTTTAAAATCCAGTAATATACTAAATCCAATCTACAAATGTGTAGAGCTGCTCCTTAAACCCTCCATGAATTAATATCTCCTTTACATACCCCATCATCCGTGTAATAAATAATATAGACATAAAAAGCATAAATCATATTAGTATGAATAAATATGAATCACAAGCAATAATTCAATGAAAATTCATAAGGTCCAGTCCATAAATATCCATCCATATCTATCCTTGTTGTATTGAATGTTCAACCACAACACTAGTGCTCTAAACATGACTCTCACTTTTAGGAGAGTAACACCCAAAAGTGCTCAATGTAGACTCTCACCTCCTAATTAGACCACACTTAAATTGGTCTGAAATAGCTTGTTCCAGCTCAAGGAGGATCACAAATGTAGCTGCTTAATATGCTATGATTTGCTCCACGGTCACCTTTAAATGCACTGGCCCAGGATCTAGATGCTCAGAATCCTATAATGCCAACTATAGTGTAGTCAAATCAAAATTTATTTGAAAACCATAAAATACACTCACATTTAACCAGAAGTCATCAAGCTTTCTGTCAATCATGAAAGTAGTTGGCAATCCCTTCTGTGACATCCAGTATCAGTCACCGTCATCACAGACTCCTTTCTTACATGTCACACCACCTACCAACGTGGCTTCATCAGCGATCCACTGGATCAATGTTCTATCCAAAACTATCCATACCTGGAATTCATCTTATACCTGTTTAGTGTTGCTGAATAGCTGCTCTGGCTACTCCTATGTACCTTCCATTGGCTCATGGCTGTTCCATTTGCCCACCAGAGGTTCCCATAGGAAGTATTTCTGTCTGGGTGACTCTCCAGAAAAGGGAACCCCTCCCTAAGCACCAGTGATTGAGCTTTCATGGGGCATCAGCCAGGTATATAGTATACCATATACAGTCAGGTCCATAAATATTGGGACATCGACACAATTCTAACATTTTTGGCTCTATACACCACCACAATGGATTTGAAATGAAATGAACAAAATGTGCTTTAACTGCAGACTGTCAGCTTTAATTTGAGGGTACATCCAAATCAGGTGAACGGTGTAGGAATTACAACAGTTTGCATATGTGCCTCTCACTTGTTAAGGGACCAAAAGTAATGGGACAATTGGCTTCTCAGCTGTTCCATGGCCAGGTGTGTGATATTCCCTCATTATCCCAATTACAATGAGCAGATAAAAGGTCCAGAGTTCATTTCAAGTGTACTATTTGCATTTGGAATCTGTTGCTGTCAACTCTCAAGATGAGATCCAAAGAGCTGTCACTATCAGTGAAGCAAGCCATCATTAGGCTGAAAAAACAAAACAAACCCATCAGAGAGATAGCAAAAACATTAGGCGTGGCCAAAACAACTGTTTGGAACATTCTTAAAAAGAAGGAACGCACCGGTGAGCTCAGCAACACCAAAAGACCCGGAAGACCACGGAAAACAACTGTAGTGGATGACCAAAGAATTCTTTCCCTGGTGAAGAAAACACCCTTCACAACAGTTGGCCAGATCAAAAACACTCTCCAGGAGGTAGGTGTATGTGTGTCAAAGTCAACAATCAAGAGAAGACTTCACCAGAGTGAATACAGAGGGTTCACCACAAGATGTAAACCATTGGTGAGCCTCAAAAACAGGAAGGCCAGATTAGAGATTGCCAAACGACATCTAAAAAAGCCTTCACAGTTCTGGAACAACATCCTATGGACAGATGAGACCAAGATCAACTTGTACCAGAGTGATGGGAAGAGAAGAGTATGGAGAAGGAAAGGAACTGCTCATGATCCTAAGCTTACCACCTCATCAGTGAAGCATGGTGGTGGTAGTGTCATGGCGTGGGCATGTATGGCTGCCAATGGAACTGGTTCTCTTGCATTTATTGATGATGTGACTGCTGACAAAAGCAGCCGGATGAATTCTGAAGTGTTTCGGGC